ACAAGTTTTCAAGAGGAAGTTTAGTTTCAGAGTGTGTGGGGGAAGGTAGAATCCCCACTGAATAGTTTTATCCTGTTTAGATGGGTCTGGTGAAAGGAGATGGGGATAAGATTCTTATGATTCAATAGTAATTGTTACCATGAGTAATTGCGACTATCACAACTGTAAAAGTAGAAGTTTTGTAACAAAAAGAGGGGAGTAGTTAATCTTACAGTTCAGGAACAGAGGACCTTAGGACCATCAAATGTGAAGAACATGAGTAGAATGTGGAACCCTATCCAGAGAAGCAGCGACACCAGAGAGGGAAGCAGAGATGAGGACATGGAGAGGGGGAGCAGCTGAGGATTCTAGACTCATGGAAAGAAAAAGGCTGTGTGCTGGCAGCCAGATGCTGGTGACCAGGAGGCAGGCTTGCAGAATGTGCCCTTTGGTTGTTTAAATGATTATATATTCCTGAATGATTTTGTGTAAATTGCCACCACCACCACCCCTACGCCGCCAAAAACAACAGCAAAAACAAAACAAAACAAAACAAAACAACAGAGGGAATAGAAGCAAATACTGTTAAATGATGATGCATGGAGGAGATTATAATCATTGCAATGAAACGATGCACAGAGGAGATTGTAATCATTGCATGCATGTTCCCCCATGTAAACTAATCACTCAATTCACACAAAAAACTTATTGAAAAAAAAGAACACTGTTGTATCTTTGTCTGCAAAGACAATGTTCTACATCCTCCTTTGGTGAGTAATGACTGGGGTCTTAAATGGCATGAGTGGCCATCTATGGCACAACTATAGGTCTCTCCCTCTCTGGAGGAAAGAAGAGTAAAGAAATTGTAGACATATGAAAACAATTAGTCCAACGGTTCTCCATGACCCCGATACCAGAAAAATTAGATCGTATCTTGGCTACCACAACTACCAATGGCTCTGAAAGGAGAAGAATGTGGACCAAAACTCAAAATCATATAAAAGCCAAGCTTGTTGTTGTTGTTAAGTGCTATCGAGTCGGTTCCCACCCATAGCGACCCTGTACAGGGTTTCCGAGGGTGTAAATCTTTACGGGAGTAGAAAGCCTCATCTTTCTCCTGCAGAGAGGCTGGTAGTTTCGATCCGCTGACCTTAAGGTTCGCAGC